CTCCCCACGAAGCCCCAAGAGGCTCCCAAGAGACCCCCAGGAAGCTCCAAGAGGCCCCCACGAGGCTTCCAAGCGGCCCCCAAGAGCTTCCCACCCAAGAGGCTCCCAAACTACCTCCAAGAGGCCCCCAACAGCGCTCGCCGTCGTCGTCGTCGCCATTCAGGGTCGACGGCACCAGCCGTAAGGCCTTCGCAATCTTCAAAAATACTCCATAAAAATATGTGTGTATGTGTATGTGTATGTGTATGAATAGGTGTATGTGTATGTGTATGTGTATGTGTATGTGTATGTGTATGTGTATGTGTATGTGTATGTGTGTATGTGTATGTGTATGTGTGTATGTGTGTATGTGTACATGTGTGTATGTGTACATGTGTATGTGTATATGTGTATCTGTGTATATGTGTATATGTGTAGATGTGTATATGCGTGTATGTGTAGATGTGTATATGTGTATATGTGTATGTGTGTATGTGTGTATGTGTGTATGTGTGTATGTGTGTATGTGTGTATGATGTGTGTATGATGTGTGTATGATGTGTGTATGATGTGTGTATGATATGTGTATGATGTGTGTATGATGTGTGTATGATGTGTGTATGTGGTGTGTATGTGGTGTGTATGTGGTGTGTATGTGGTGTGTATGTGGTGTGTATGTGGTGTGTATGTGGTGTGTATGTGGTGTGTATGTGGTGTGTAATGTGGTGTGTATGTGGTGTGTATGTGGTGTGTATGTGCTTGTGTGGGTGTGTATGTGGTGTGTATGTGTGTGTGTATGTGGTGTGTATGTGGTGTGTATGTGGTGTGTATGTGGTGTGTATGTGGTGTGTATGTGGTGTGTATGTGGTGTGTATGTGGTGTGCATGTGGTGTGCATGTGGTGTGCATGTGGTGTGTATGTGGTGTGCATGTGGTGTGCATGTGGTGTGCATGTGGTGTGTATGTGGTGTGTATGTGGTGTGTATGTGGTGTGTATGTGGTGTGTATGTGGTGTGTATGTGGTGTGTATGTGGTGTGTATGTGGTGTGTATGTGGTGTGTATGTGGTGTGCATGTGGTGTGTATGTGGTGTGTATGTGGTGTGTATGTGGTGTGTAGGTGGTGCGTAGGTGGTGTGTATGGGGTGTGTATGTGGTGTGTATGTGGTGTGTATGTGGTGTGTATGCGTGTGTGGTATGTGGTGTGTATGTGGTGTGTATGTGGTGTGTATGTGGTGTGTATGTGGTGTGTATGTGGTGTGTATGTGGTGTGTATGTGGTGTGTATGTGGTGTGTATGTGGTGTGTATGTGGTGTGTATGTGGTGTGTATGTGGTGTGTGTGTGTGTGTGTGTGTATGTGGTGTGTATGTGTATGTGTGTGTTCGGTGTGTATGTGGGTGGGTGTAATGTGAGTGTAGTTATGTGGTGTGTTTGTGGTGTGTTTGTGCTTTGTATGTGGTGTGTATGTGGTGTGTCATGTGTGTGTGTATGTGGTGTGTATGTGTGTGCTGTATGTGAATGTGTATGTGGTGTGTTATGTAGGTGTGTATGTGGTGTGTTGTGGTGTGTCTTGTAGTGTGTATGTGTATGTGTATGTGTGTATGTGTGTATGTGTAGTTTGTGTCGTATGTGCCGCTTGTACTGCGTGTGTATGTGTGTATGTGTGTATGTGGTGTGTATGTGGTGTGGATGTGGTGTGTGCGGTGTGTATGTGGTGTGTATGGGTGTATGTGTGTATGTGTGTATGTGTGTATGTGCGTATGTGTGTATGTGAGTATGTGTGTATGTGTGTATGTGTGTATGTGCGTATGTGTGTATGTGTGTATGTGTGTATGTGTGTATGTGTGTATGTGTGTATGTGTGTATGTGTGTATGTGTGTATGTGTATATGTGTGTATGTGTGTGTGTGTATGTGTGTATGTGTGTATGTGTGTATGTGTGTATGTGTGTATGTGTGTATGTGTGTATGTGTGTATGTGTGTATGTGTCTATGTGTGTATGTGTCTATGTGTGTGTCTGTGTGTATGTGTGCGAAGTGTGTGTATGTGTGTGAAGTGTGTGAAGTGTGTGAACTGTGTGAAGTGTGTGAAGTGTGTGGCGTGTGAAGTGTGTGAAGTGTGTGAAGTGTGTGAAGTGTGCGAAGTGTGTGAAGTGTGTGAAGTGTGTGAAGTGTGTGAAGTGTGTGAAGTGTGTGAAGTGTGTGAAGTGTGTGAACTGTGTGAAGTGTGTGAAGTGTGTGAAGTGTGTGAAGTGTGGAAGTGCGTGAAGTGTGTGAAGTGTGTGAAGTGTGTGACGTGTGTGAAGTGTGTGAAGTGTGTGGTGTGTGGAGTGTGTGAAGTGTGTGATGTGCGTGATGTGCGTGGAGTGTGTGAAGTGTGTGAAGTGTGTGAAGTGTGTGAAGTGTGTGAAGTGCGTGAAGTGTGTGAAGTGTGTGAAGTGTGTGAAGTGTGTGATGTGTGTGAAGTGTGTGAAGTGTTTGAAGTGTGTGAAGTGTGTGAAGTGTGTGAGGTGTGTGAAGTGTGTGAAGTGTGTGTGTGAAGGCGTGAAGTGAAGTGTGTGAAGTGTGTGAAGTGTGTGCAGTGTGTGAAGTGTGTGAAGTGTGTGAAGTGTGTGGAGTGTGTGAAGTGTGTGAAGTGTGTGAAGTGTGCGAAGTGTGTGAAGTGTGTGAAGTGTGTGAAGTGTGTGAAGTGTGTGAAGTGTGTGAAATGTGTGAAGTGTGTGAAGTGTGTGAAGTGTGTGAAGTGTGTGAAGTGTGTGAAGTGTGTGAAGTGCGCGAAGTGCGCGAAGTGTGTGAAGCGTGTGAAGTGAGTGAAGTGTGTGAGGTGTGTGAGGTGTGTGAGGTGTGTGAAGTGTGTGAAGTGTGTGAAGTGTGTGAAGTGTGTGAAGTGTGTGAAGTGTGTAAAGTGTGTGAGTGTGTGAAGTGTGTGTGTGAGTGTGTGAAGTGTGTGCAGTGTGTGAAGTGTGTGTGCGAAAGTGTGTGAAGTGTGTGAAGTGCGTGAGTGTGTGAAGTGTGTGAAGTGTGAAGTGTGTGAAGTGTGTGAAGTGTGTGAAGTGCGTGAAGTGTGTGAAGTGTGTGGAGTGTGTGTGAAGTGTGTGAAGTGTGTGAAGTGTGTGGAGTGTGTGAAGTGTGTGAGGTGTGTGAGGTGTGTGGAGTGTGTGAAGTGTGTGCGTGAAGTGTGAAGTGTGTGAAGTGTGTGAAGTGTGTGAAGTGTGTGAAGTGTGTGAAGTGTGTGAAGTGTGTGAAGTGTGTGAAGTGTGTGAAGTGTGTGTGTGTGAAGTGTGTGAAGTGTGTGAAGTGTGTGAAGTGTGTGAAGTGTGTGAAGTGTGTGAAGTGTGTGAAGTGTGTGAAGTGTGTGATGTGTGTGTGTGATGTGTGTGTGTGTGTGATGTGTGTGTGATGTGTGTGATGTGTGTGATGTGTGTGTGTGTGTGTGATGTGTGTGATGTGTGTGATGTGTGTGTGATGTGTGTGTGATGTGTGTGTGCTGTGTGTGATGTGTGTGTGATGTGTGTATGTGATGTGTGTGATGTGTGTGTGATGTGTGTGTGATGTGTGTGTTATGTTTTTGTCATGTGTGTGATGTGTGTGATGTGTGTGATGTGTGTGATGTGTGTGATGTGTGTGATGTGTGTGATGTGTGTGTGTGTGATGTGTGTGTGATGTGTGTGATGTGTGTGTGATGTGTGTGATGTGTGTCTGATGTGTGTGTGATGTGTGTGTGATGTGTGTGTGTGGTGTGTGGTGTGTGGTGTGTGGCTTGTGGTGTGTGGTGTGTGGTGTGTGGTGTGTGGTGTGTGTGTGTGGGTGTGTGGTGTGTGTGGTGTGTGGGTGTGTGTGTGAGAGTGTGTGTGAGAGTGTGTGAGTGTGTGTGAGAGTGTGTGTGTGTGCGCGTGTGCATATAGAATAATATGTTGTTATTGTAGTACTGCTTATTTTTGAAGAAAAATCAAAAAGACAAATCCCCTGACTATTTTTCCTATCCTTGAATATTCCTCCTGTAGAGGGACAGGCCCGACTTAAGGGTGGAGGGAGGTGAGAAGGCTTCTTAGACGGAAGCAGCTTCTGAGAAGGCGCCGGCCTTGCATCTACAGATAGATAAGGCCCGCGCCTTCCAAGAGTCGGGGGCGCGCAAACATGAATCAGCGATCCGTGGGTTTAGCGCGCGGTCGCCAAATCTACGGATCGGGGGAGGTGCCCTCCCCAAAATGCGGCTGATGCTGCCTCGCTCGGCGGCGGAAATCCGCGGTTTCCCATGGAAACGGGACCCGTCGATAATCCACGCCTCCTTGATCCATGCTTGCGATCGCCTGAAAGTTGTGTTGACGGCCCCGGGGCCTGGCAAGGGCCCCCGGAGGGCGAAAACTGCAAAAAACAAAAAAACGTCTGGATTTGTTCCATGCGCCTGAGGTCTATGGGCGGCGCGGCGGCGCGCACAAGGGGGTGGAGTTAGGTCGGGCATGTTCCCCTACAGGGGAATTTGGACGAAAAATAACAATAGTCAAAAAAAAATGTATTCAAAAATGTGTGTGCGTGTGTGCATATACAATAATGTGCTTCTGTGTGGTAATATTGATTACTTTTGAAAGAAGCAAATCTCCTGACTATTGTTCCTATTCTTGAATATTCCTCCTGTAGAGGGACAGGCCCGACTTAAGGGTGGAGGGAGGGCAGAAGGCTTCTTAGACGGAAGCTGCTTCTGAGAAGGCGCCGGCCTTGCATCTACAGATAGAGAAGGCCCGCGCCTTCCAAGAGTCGGGGGCGCGCAAACATGAATCAGCGATCCGTGGAATGGCGAGCGGTCGCCAAATCCACGGATCGGGGGAAGTGCCCTCCCGAAAATGCAGCCGGTGCCGCCTCGCTCGGCGGCGGAAATCCGCGATTTCTCATGGAAACGGGACCCGTCGCTAATCGACGCCCCCTTGATCCATGTTTGCGATCGCCTGAAAGCAGCCCTCCCCCCTCCCCCTGCCCCCCTTCTGCGCGTGGCTTGATCTGGGCCTGGCCCCTGGGCCGACGCTGCGCCTGGGCCAGGAAGCCGGCCGTGATGCCCATGGTGGTGGGCAGCGACGCGGCGCAGACGCCCTGAGGCGGGCGACGCCGGCGCCACTGCAGGACACGCGAGAGGACACAACACCCTTCCGAGGGCCACACTTCCACAGGGATGTAGAAAGCATGGGCCGCGACACACAGGACACAAGAGTACCCTTGATTCAGCAGGGTCGACCTACTAATCAGCCTCGACTGTACTCTCGCCGAAGGCTCCAGTCGCCGGGACGAGGACCACGAAGACCACGACGCCCACGACGACGAACGACGACGACGACGACAACGACAACGACGCAACGACGACGCCACGACGACGACGACGACGACGCACCGACGACGACGACGACGACGACGACGACGACGACGACGACGACGCAACGACGACGACGACGACAACGACGACGACGACGACCATGACGCTGACGACGGCGGCGACGACGGCGGCGGCGACGGCAGCGGCGGCGGCCCCGGCGGTGGCGACGGCGACGACCCCCACCTTGGGAAGGACCAAAACGGTGCGGTGACAGACCTTGCGGTGACCGCGAAGTCGCAGACGACCTCACCGCACGGTCCGTCATCGCACCGCTTTTGTGACCCTGGAGCCCGTAGTCGCCCGAAACATCCTCGGAGAACGATCCGAGTCCCGAAACCATGCGATCACCACAAGTCCCACTGACTCACCACACGGTGTGGCCACTGCACCATTTGGGGTCGCCGACACCTCCTCTCGTCGTGGCGGTTTTCGGCCGATTTCGGCCACCAGAACGGCCAGCCCTACTTTGAGGACCGCGGGGGTTGCCAAGGGGATGGGGGGAGTGCAAGATCGGGGCTGTCTGGGCGGAGCCCACTTAGCGGAATTATTTGACTCGTTGAAGCCGCCTAGGGCGCCTGTAACCCACATAAAAACTATATTCGGCAAGACATACCAATATTAGCATCAACTTCAAAGCCCCCTGTCCCATTAACAAGCCCCGCGCTGATCCTAGCACCTCCTCTAGTCGTGAAGGTTCCTGGCCTGCTTGGCTCACGGAAGCACCTGTGCTGGGCCACGGGACCACCACAAATGGCTCAGGATGAACAGTCGGTCCCACTTGGATCACCGAGGGGGTTGCCACGGGGATAGGGAGTCAGCAGTGGATGCCAAGGTGGGTCATACGCCATACCTGAGCTTATTAGCGGGTTACACAAACCCAAAGTGGCCTAGGGGGCAGATTACTCTGCGAAGTGGGCGGAGCCCAATTAGCCTGAATCGTTAACCTCCCTATGGCACTGCAACCCGCTTGTACGCTAGGTTAGGCCAGGTATCCGCAAACGTTTAGGTCGGGCATGTCCCCCTACAGGCGGATACTGGACGAAAAATCAAAAATTATCCAAACATATCCAAGAAGAGCCAAAAATGGTGAAAAAACGTCCCCATATTATTTTTTGATTATTTTTGAATATTCCTGCTGAAGAGGGACACGCCCGACTTAGCGCTAGGTTAGGCCGGGTATCCGCCAACGTGCCTTCAGCATTGAAGTGGAGTGCACCAAGGCGGCCCTAAGATGGCCCAAAGACGGCCCAGGAGACCTCCAAGACGCCCAAGACGGCCTCAGAGACGGTCCTGAAGCGCCCCAAGAAGGCCCCAAGTCGGCCCACAGGCCCCCAAGACGGCTTCCGACGGCGTCAGACGGGCCGGGAATGCCCTCAGGCGGCCAAAGAGCCTCCCTCCCAAGCAGCCTCAAAGCCTGAAGAGGCCCAAGGAAGTCTCTAGAGGCTCCCGAGAGGCCTCCTCCTCCTCCTCCTCCTCCTCCTCATCCTCATCCTTATCCTCGAACGTGTCCCTCCCTTTCCTCATCTTCTTCTCCCCACGTGTTCCTCGAAGGGTGTCCACAACGATTCGAGGAACACATAGTACGACAACTTGGCCGAGCCCTGGCCGCGACGTTCAGGCACACTGGCGCTTCCGGAAGGCAGGGGGCGGCGGTGATTCGCCGCAGGCGTTGGCGAGTCGATCGCCCGCCTCGGCATCCCCCGACAACCCCCTTATCCCCTTGGCAAGCCCCCCGGTGATCCAAGCAAGGAGAGGGTCCAGGACATCCGGGGGACCCCGCTGACGACGCGACGACGACGGTGAGGGCAACGGCGAAGGCGACGACGGCAACGACGGCGGCGCCGCGGCGGCGGCGGGGCGCCCTGGCGCCGCCACTGGGTTCGGACGAGGGGGCGACGACGACGGCGAGGCGGTTGGAGGTCCACGGGCCGTTTTGGGGCATCTTTCGCTACGATCCTTGATGAGAGTCAAAGCTGAAGCCTCTTGGACGCCCATGCCGAGGCTCTTCGAGTTGGGCTGGCCATCGAAAGCGGTTCAGGATGGACCGAGGAGGCAAGGATGCAGGGGTACCCTTGGAAAGATTACCCATCGCTACGATCCTTGATTACCCATCCTGGAAAGGGGGGTCCATGGGCCTCTCTGGGACACCTGTCTGGACGACCCTCGAAGATCATGTGAGAAACAACGGCATCGGATCTCTGGGCTGACCCCCCATCACCCCAAGCATCCTCCGATAGTCGGCGGCGAGCGAGAGGGGGAAATGAGAAAAAGAAGTCCTTCTCGGACGGCGGCGGGACTTCTGAAAAGCCCTCGCGCCTTCTGGGAAATCTCCTGTGTCTTCGGGGAAGGCCTAGAAAACTTCTCGGAAGGCCGGGGGGCTTCCAAGCCTCCTGAGAAGGCCCGCCCCTTCTCGTTTCCCCCTCTGGCTCTCCGCCGCGATACAGCGAGCGGCTCGAATAAGAAACACTCACTTTTCAAAAGAGGCTCGGTCGTTCCTGAGGTTTTGCTTGCGTTGTTTATCGTTAGTCGTTGTGCGTTGGTCCTTGGAAAAGAAGGGTTTCGTTTCTTATGTTTTATCGTTCCTTAGGTCAGGCCGATGACTGCAGTGACTGTTCAATCCGCGACTCCAGAGCTGCCAACCCCTTCCCCGGAACTGTCCTTCGCCCTGGGATCCACCGTCGACGGACCCGGGGCCCGAATGGACGCCCCCCCCCCCGGGCTGCGGGCGGGGCGAGGAGCGGGAGGAGGAGGACGAGGAGGAGGAGGAGGAGGAGGAGGAGGGGAGGAGGAGGAGGAGGAGGAGGAGGAGGAGAAGGAGGGGGGGAGGGGGGGGGGGAGGGAGAGGGGGAGGAGGAGGATAGTATTATTATTAGTCTTCTTATTAGTAGTAGTAGTAGTATTAGTATTATTGTTATGTTGTTCGTCGTATTCGTATTCCTCTTAATCTTATTATTGTTTACTCTAAGTATTAGTATTCGGCTTCTTCTTCTTAGTATTATTCGTAGTAGTATTATTAGTAGTAGTATTATTACTCCTCTTCTTAATATTATTATTCTTAATAGTATTCTTAGTATTGTTCTTAGTAGTATTCGTAGTGTCCTTATTATTCTTATTATTATTATTATTAGTCTTATTATTCGTAATCGTCTTCGTCGTCTTCTTCTTATTATTATTAGTCGGTTTCGTCTTATCGTTCGTATTATTCGTATTCGTATTCGTCTTATTAATCTTATTATTCGTCTTAGTCGTATGCTTAGTCGTATTATTATTAGTAGGATGAGTCTGAATAGTCTTATTGTGATTATTCTTATAATTAGTAGTATTAGTATGCTGATTATTATTCGTCGTCTTATTATTGCTATTATTATAAATGGCTTCTTATTATTTGTCGTGTTCTTACTATGGTTCTTATAATGATTAGTATTATTATTATTTTATTCCTCCTCCTCCTCCTCCTCCTCCTCCTCCTCCTCCCCCCCCCCCCTCTCCTCTCCTCCTCCTCCTCCTCCCTCCTCCTCCTCCTCCTCCTCCTCCTCCTCCCCCTCCCACCCCCCCCCTCCCTCCCTCCCTCCTCCTCCCTCCTCCCCCCTCCTCCTCCTCCTCCTCCTCCTCCTCTCCTCCTCCTCCCCTCCCCCCTCCTCCTCCTCTCCTCCCTCCTCCTCCTCCTCCTCCCTCCTCCTCCTCCTCCTCCTCCTCCCCGATCCTCGATCCACCTCGCCCCTTGATCCTGCTCCTCGATCCCCGACCCTCGATGATCTGCCTCGACTCGACCCTCCTGCTTGACCTCACACCCTCCTCCTCCCAGGCCCGACCAGCCACAAATGGGGGATCTGTGTTCCTTACCCCCTGGGGGAACCCATCGCACTGGCGATTTCCCTAGAGGGGCGTCGAATTGGAGGAGTCCCCAAAGGGGGAACGGCCAGACCTAGGACAAAAGAACATCCTTCCAGACCATGAGACCCTCCGCCGGCCAGACTGAAGAACACTCGAGGGCACTCCCCCAGGATGCACGAGAACATGCAACAAACACGAAGAACATTAGGGCACTTGCAATTCCAAAAGTGGGGGAGGTCTGATTTGGAGGGGGGTCATGGGGGTCTGGTTGGAGCTGTCTTGCAGGGCTCCAGGGGGGTCTGGGCAAAAGGCCGCTCTTTCATGGCTGGTCTGGGGAGTTCCAAAGCTGTTCGTCTGGGAGAATCGTGACCCCACCCCCCTTTTTATCGCGAAATCTGGGATACCCTCCCCGCACCGACCTCGATCTTGTAACCCCGGCCCGACCGTAAGGACCACGGGTCCCCCAAATCCTAAATTGTACCCCATCTGTCGACACAGGCGCCGCTGGCCCCTCCTCGAAGAGGGCCCCCCCGAGCGAGGAGGGCCACTCCAGAGCGACAAGCCCGGGCCGCCGCTGCCGCCGCAGGCCTCGCGCTTGATGGCCTTCTCGTCCTCCGCGCGCCGCCCACGGCCCCCTCCCCCTCCCCCTCCCCCTCCCCTCCCCCTCCCCCTCCCCCTCCCCTCCTCCTCCTCCTCCTCCTCCTCCTCCTCCTCCTCCTCCTCCTCCTCCTCCTCCTCTCCTCCTCCTCCTCCTCCCCCCCTCCTCCTCCTCCTCCTCCTCCTCCTCCTCCTCGTGCTCGTCCTCGTCCTCCTCCTCCTCCTCCTCCTCCTGCTCCTCCTCTTCCTCGTCATCTTGTTCCTCCTCCTCCTCCTCCTCTTCCTCTTCCCCCCCTCGCCTTCCTCATTCTTCCAGGGTGATTCACAGTCCCCTCGCACAAGGAAACGTCAGCAAGGATTACAACCCTGACAATTGCTGGTGCACTGCACAGCAGATGCAGTGCAGTTTTCTTTTTCTTTTTAAAGGCACTCGACCTACACCATGTTGGCCCAGCGTGTATCAGCTCATGGGCTGGGCCTAAATGACCATTCGAATGGAGCACGGCGCCGATCCACTCTGCAACCTCTTGCACAAGATGAGACATCGATTGCCAGCGGCCTAAACCTTCCTGTGCCAAAGACCACACGACGCATAACGGCCCCTGACCCGTCTGGTGCGGCCTCATTTCAGAACTGGAGAGGACCACAGCGCTGCTGATTCCGCCGCACCACGCAGACAAATCACCAATGGACACACACGCGCACGCACCCACACGCTCACGCACATGAATGAACTGACACTCTGTAGCCGAAAATATGAATTCAGCTGCACCGTATCCCATGGGCAATATCAACAATCGTTACAATATGTGCTCGCCGCGCTCCAGCGGCTTAAACTATCCCGCGCACCGGAGCACGGGACAGATAACGGCCCTGACCCAGCTGGCGCAGCCTCATTTCCACACTGATGGCAGGAACCACAGAGCTCCATTTTTCCGCTGCACCGAGGGAACACGGCCCAAACCCGCAGGGATAGGACACCTTCATGGCGCACCAGAAACGTCAGGAAGGATAACAACCCTGACAAGTATGGTGCACCCCGTGGATGCACTGCACAAGAGATGCAGCGATGTTTGTTTGCAAGGGCGAAGCACACCATGTTGGCCCAGCGAACATTAGACCACGAGCTGAGTCTGGAAGGAGACTCGAGTGGGGCACCACGCCGGTGAACTCCGCCACAACTTGCACCAGATGAGACATTGTGTGCCAGCGGCTTAAATCTTCCTGTGCAAAAGACCACAGGAAACAAAACTGCCCCTGACCCGTCTGGTGCGGCCTCATTTCAGAATTGATGGAGGGGACCACAGCGCTGCTTATTCCGCCTCAGCGCTCAAACCATTCACCAACGCACGCGCACGCGCACGCGCACGCACATGAATGAACTGACACTCGGCACACCACGACTTAGGCGCACAATGGCCGCAGCGTCAACCTCTTCATACTCATACTCCTTGGGAGGAGGTGGAAGGGGCAAGAGAGAGGGAGGAGGGAGCAGGGAGGAGGGGAGAGAAAGGAGAGAAAAGGGGGACGAAGTAGTAACAATGAGAAAGGAAGGGCAGGGGTGCGCAGGAAGACGACGACGACGACGACGACGACGACGACGACGACGACGACGACGACCGCGGCGGTCCTCCCCGGCAGCCACGACGCATGGGGGGGCGCACTCGAAGCAGGCGTACCTTGGCGGCGGGGGGGGGGCGCTGTCGGGCCGCCTGGGCACCTTTCAAGGGGCCCAAGGACACACAAATAATTACACACAAATAACAGGATTCCCAATCTATTCCCAGATTTTTTGGATTTTCGTTTTCCCCCCACTTCGCATATTTTCCCATATTTTCCTTGGGATCAACAATTAATTGTGTCTCTGCATTGGCGGTTTTCCGTAATACAAAGAGCATCCCAGCAATTAAGACATTGAAGAAGAAACAACTGATCGCGAACATGACAGACGCATCTGGGCAGACCAGAACAGACCGGCAGGGGATAGCGGACGTGTTCGCGGAGTTTTACGCAAATTTGTATCAATCATCATTTGTCGGCGAAGCTCTTGCGTCTTCTGACCGGGCCACGGATGCAGACGTCGTGCCGGTTTTCACGATGGCCGAGCTTAGGGCGCAGATCAAGAACCTCAACAACGGCAAGTGTTGCGACTCGAAAGGCGTATTTGCGGAGATGATCAAGCACGGGGGCCCCGCCATCGCAAGTACATTGCTCGACCTCTACAACAACATCCTTTCGCCGACTGCTCCCCCTCCGGAGGCGTGGAAACAATCGGTCGTGACAGTGCTTTACAAGTCCGGGGACGCCGCAGATGCTAAAAATTATCGCCCTGTTACGATCATCCCGATGATGTACAAGTTATTTGCCAAGCTGCTCTATGGAAGGTTGTACCCAATGTTGGACAAATATCAGACGATCGATCAAGCAGGATTTCGCCAAGGCCTCAGTACTGTGCACCATCTGTTCGCTCTCACACAGCTGCAAGAGAAGTGCCAGGAATGGCAACAGAATGTTTGGGTTGCTGCCATTGATTTCAAAAAAGCATTTGATTGCGTGGAACATCAGAGCTTATGGGCCGCTCTTCAGAGACAAGGAGTTCCTGCTGGATATATTAATAAACTTCGAGAACTGTATGCTGGGCAATCGGCCCGGGTACGCACCGACCGCTTGAGCAAGCCTTACCATATCCACCGCGGCACAAAACAGGGAGATCCGCTCAGCACGCTGCTTTTCAACGCTCTTTTAGAAGATGTGATGTCCGTCGCGAAGACGAAATGGCTAAGGAAAGGATGAGGCTTAAAGCTTGGTTTTACAGATCTGCGGCAAATAACAAATTTACGTTTTGCTGATGACGTTTTACTTGTAGCGACAAATCTTCGGCAACTGAAAGCCATGCTCGCCGACGTCCGGAATGAGGCGGCTGAAGTGGGGCTCGTATTGCATCCAGACAAGACGAAGATCCTAAGCAACACGACGCGAGGCACGGGACGTCCGAAAGACACGAGCACCATGGTGGGCGACATGAAGATTGAGATCGTACCGTACAGCGGGAAGGTCAAATATCTGGGCCGGCAGGTGAGCTTCGATCGCCCCCACGATGTGGAGATTGACCACAAGATCCACATGGCATGGGCACGCTTTATGCAACAACGTGATGAACTGACAGACCGCAGATATCCATTGTACTCGCGCCTTCGGCTTTTTGATAGCACCGTGTCTACGACGTTGCTTTATGGGGCAGCAACGTGGGTACTGACCAAGGAGCTAGAGGACAATCTCCGGAGAACGCAACGAAAAATGCTCCGCATGATTGTGCGCTGCAGCAGGAGAGTTCTTGAGCCAGGCTCACCAGGACCCAGTTCTTCGTCTTCACATTCATCATCTTCTGTTATGTCTACGACTGGCCAAAGTGTGGAGTTGGAGCCTTGGCAAGATTGGATTCGTAGGGCGACGAGAGAAGTCGAACGCCACATGTCTAGACTGAAGCTACGAGATTGGGTCAGTGAACACCGCAGAGCGGCAGTTCTTTGGCTTGAGCGAGTGCGCTCGGACACCGGGTCTTGGGCACGTTTTGCCTTCGACTGGAATCCTGACCGCCACGTTCGGCGACCAGGCCGGCCTTTCAAGCGCTGGTTGGAGACGACCGAGACATTCCTGATCTTCAAGAACTGAAGGCGCCGAGGCGCCCCCGCGCCGCCCGTCTCGGGACGGCCTCCGGGCCGATGGTGCGCGTCTTGTCTAGTCTTGTCTTGTCTTGTCTTGTCTGTGTTTTTTCCCCTCCTGAACTTTCGGGGTCCGTCTTGGACGGTCCGCTGGGTCGTCCTGGGGCCCGCCTTGGGGGGTCCCGGGGGCCGTCCGAAGGCCACCTGGGGCCACCCTGGGTTCCCCCTGGACCGCTCCGGGGCCCTCCTGGGAACTTCTTGCGCCGTCTCGGAAGCCACGGAAGCCCGAAAACGGTGAGAAGGGGGCGCCTCCCGCCGCACGGGCTCGGCTCGGGCCGGCTCGGCCATCGATACAAGAACGGCGCCCATGCACCGTGCGTCCCTGTAGGCCCCGTTCCACCGCGGCACGGTGCATGGTTTCTCTGCTCCGAAGGGTGAAGAGCCGTGCACCGTGCCATGTTTGGGCCGAAGGTCGGCGGCGCCTCGGGAGTCACCAACGCGGTGAGGCGCCGAGCCTTTCGGTTCCAAGGCCGACAACCGTACATTGTACCTCCTCGACGGCGCCTCGGGAGACACCAACGCGGCACAGCGCACACTTTTTGATCGGCAGCGCCTTGGATCCCAGTTGCGGTCCAGGTACGGCACGGTTCCTGCTGAACGAATTAGACACAAGGGCGGCGAGGAAGGCCAGGACAGAGAAGGGGGAGGGCCGCGAACGGCCGGAGCGCGCCACGGTGGCTGGAAGTAGGGGGGAAAGCGACAGAGGGAGGGAGGGATGGAGGAAGGAGGAGCAGGAGGAGGTGAGTGAGTGAGTGACCCCAAGTCGCGAAGCGACATCCGACGAATCACGAAGCCCGCCCCACCTGCGTGGCCTTGCTCTGGACCTTCGGCCACTGGCCAGCGGCGATTCGAGTTAGATACTCGGACCTGGCGGAATTCGCGGTCTTGAGACAAGGTTGCCCCAGACCCTTCAACATCTGACTGGCAAAACACCCGCACCGACTACAGAACCAGAGCTTCAAAGTGCCCTGCAAAGTGAGTTGGTGCGAAAGATCAGCCCACCCTCCCGCTAAGTGCAACCTGACTCCAGACGGGACCCTGAAAAAATCATCGTGCACATGAACAGGATGAAAACACGGGGTATCCCTCCAAACAGATTGCCTAGCTATGGCAGCGGAGCTGCAACACCTACGACACCTACGACCAGTCTCGTCTAACTGGTGAGAGGTGGTGAAAGTCTGAACCGCAGAGACGGCAGGAGGAGGGGGAGGAGGTGGCTCACGTTGTTTCCTCCCAGGAGGCTCCAGACGTTTCTCTGCTGCTAGAGAGTCAAGCGTAGCACGGAGTAGGCGTAGCCGAACGAGAAGTACCCTCTGCTCCCACTGCTCGGCCCGAACTCTCTCCTCTGCACTGACCTGCACACGACTGGCTGCTGACCCTGCAAGGATATCCGCCACAGCATTTCCCAAGATCATCCACATTGGAAATCTCCCAGACAACGCTTCGCGGGCCTCCAGATGCGAGTTGACAAACAACACCACAAACGAGGCTGGGTCCCTGGAGAAATCGAAAACAGCTCCTATTCGATGCCATAGATCGGCGTCAGGTCCCGAGGGCTCACGATAAAGTTTCGAGACCCAACCTTCCGCAACGTATTCGTTATCTGTGGTATACACCACTCGGCCCGAAGAGTGTTCAGCTGCCAAGAGAAGGGCCCGAAGTTCTCCACGAGAAACCGACTGCCGTTCCCCCGCAAGCCCACCAGACATCGAACTAGCGATCTCGAGAGGCTCGAAACAACTGATACAGATAACTAATAAGCCCACGCGGCGATATCTTGTGTGCCCTGATAATTCACCTCCACTGGCATCACCAAACAGAAAGATTGGGGCTTCCCGAGTGCCGTGTCCAAAAGCCCCTGTCGACACAATCTCTCCTGCCGCCTGCCAGTGCCCCTCCTGCGGAGGAGGCGAAACATGAACGAGATGAGACGGAAGAAGCCCACGAAGCCAGAAACATTCCATGGATTCCCAGCTGGAGTAGGCCTCCCCCACCAAACACTCTAAACACTTGTAGGCTGCCGCTTCTACGTTGTGACGGCAGCCCCACACGCGATGGAAAGGTGTCTCTGGAACCTCCCCGCACCGAGGGCACTTCGTGTCGAAAGGCTTGCCCTTGGTCGCGAGGAAGTCCCCTCGGCGAGACCGCGCCCAGTATCCTCCAGCTGCGATGGTGACAAGAAAATCTGCTAGCCGAGCTCCACGATTGACCGACTGCAGTTGCAATTACAGCTGTCGCAGGGGCGCGCAGTCGATGCCGCCTTCCATGCCACCGCCACAAAAGTGTTGAGATGCCTGCTCCCACAGTGACGATCGAATGGACTTCTGTACATCGCGAATGAGGTGGCCTGGGTCGTCCACATCTGGCCATCCTGTCCACGCTGAGTCGGGGAAATACCATTCAATGGATTCATCCTGGGAATCAGCTGCGGGCTTGAACCATTCGGTGGCTGACCGTGGGTCCCATCCGTTATGCAACAACAATGTGATGACTGCTGAAACTGGTCCTCGTATGTGCCGCGTGCGCTGCCCTGGTGAGATGGCCCGAAGCTTCTCCACCAGGGGGGTCCACACGCGGCAAACTCCCCGTCTAAGCCCTGGCTCCTCCTGCCAAACACGAAACCACTGACGTAGCATCTCCTCTGGCAATTTGAGTGCTGGATCATGTGGGGCTCGTAGCGCTAAGACTGTGGTGAGGCAGCGGCCTTTGGACGGGGCCGCCACCACCGCACCTAGCCGTTGTCGGGCCTGGCGCAAGTAAGCTCCGAAAGTGCCGTGTATCTGGTGTCAATATAGCCCTGCAGCCTGAGCTCCAAGCCGCTCAAGCTTCGAGGCGATGGCGCATCGACGCCCTGCTCGAGCGAACTTGCGCACCTTGGTGTTCATCAACCGGTGCTTGTCCGCTCTCTTGCGTCTCGTAGCTCGAGCATGACGGCCACCACCTCCTAAGTCCGTGCC